TATTAGTTATAATTTTTTTTAGTTTATATAGTTATAAAAGGTCACGTGATGTTGGTTTTAGACTACATGCACCATATTATATTAAATAATGGTGAGAAGCATAAAATCATACCCACTGAATTCATAGTTATTGGATCAGGTTAGCCTGATCAATTTCCTGAAATACTCTTGGGCTCATTGTGGATGCGAGAAAATAGTGTAAGCTTGAATATGCTTCTACGTCTTCTTCTTCTAATAATTACACCATTTCTGAATCTGCACAAATTACTTGACTTGCAAGTGGGACTTCCCATGATAGGTTTGAGGTATTCTTCTTTTTCTTTAAATACTTTTGAAAATGTTGTGCATATGGAGCTTCGCTACTTGCAAGATTAGTTTTTAATGATCGCAAGTTCGTCTTGATTTCATTCAGAGTGAGTTCGTCTTCTTGGTTTGATTTTCTGATATTCCTAAGACTGTATACACCTTCATATGCATCATCGAACTAGTGCAAAAACCTTATGTTAGTATGTACAGATAAACTTGTAGTATAATAATAGTGTACGCATACCCATCAGAATACTTCATGTAAAATTGTCAACCATATGTGGCCAGCATACAATTGACAATATATATGAATAGTATAAATATTTCATCACAAGCCAGAACTAAGATCCCACCCCCTTGTGTCTGAGGAATTAATAAATTTGATTAACCTTGTACCCACAAGGCTCATAAATGTTCACTTAGATTGGCTATATATTATTTTGCACAATTATCAGTTGGTGTTAAAACATGATAATAGATTAATTACTAACTTTCAAAGAGATTTCATCAAGTTTTTTATACTTTTCTGAGTTCTTATCATAACTGCTTTTTAGCTTTGTAACTGCCTGGTGAACCGCTTGTCTTAAATCATCTTTTGAATTCCACGTATCATCCTCTACTACTTGATAAATGACAGAAAATACTGTGATATGTGCTGGCGGTGACTCGAGTAAAAAATTATAAAAGGTTTTATACAAGGTAGAATTGGACATGGTGAAATGAGTTATTAATTTATAGTTTGACGCAAGAAATAATGCAAGAAACAATCACTAGTAAGCGACAAATAACAATAAATTCAAGATACTGCCTTTTTATATATTTCTCTTCATCTCTTCTTTGAAACTCAAACTGTTAGAAAGGTTAGATAGAAGCAAAAACATGTGCTCTTACATCAAAAAATTTTTATGAGGCATGTATTTCTACGCAGAGAAATTTCTATCGATGATACAAAGAATTCTATAAATTTTGTAAATGTATGCATCATGAGTTATAGAGCCATATAAGGTTAAAGGAACTCGATACTCCATAGTATATATATATATTATACGTATAGTGATGCAAAACGGCTCTGCAGAGCTGTGAGCCAATCGGTTTAGCTAAGCTAATTAATGGCTCAGCTAACTAACAGCTTGCTAACCAATGGCTCGGCTTGTGTTACGTGAAGCTGGTTTAGAGCTATGAGCCGATGTTATAATTGTAATTAATAATAAACTATAATAAACTATGACGATAACAATAATGATATTATCGTAAAGACGATAAAATTAATAATAAACTATAATAAACAATAACGATAACGATCTTATCGTAAAATTAATTAATAATAAACTATAACGATAATATCGTAATATTTTGTATTTTCATAAAGACAATAAATACTTTTTTTTTTCTTTTTTCGTATTTTTATGATACTTTTACAATAATCGTACACTTATAATAATAGTAAAAATAGATCTTGATGACCCTTCATGTATTAATTCTCCAGACCCCCAAGACGTTTTGCAATGTACTTCTGATAGTAATATTGCTAGTTCAAGCTCAAATAT